ACGGGAAGATTAGAAATCCTACAAACGAGGTTGTTTCCCCAGAAGATAGTTGTTAAAGAAGAATAACCTACTTACGGTGCAGGGTGCAAGTGTGGTATATAACTGCTGCCCATATCAGATGTCCTTTGAAAGGCATTTTCAAAAGCATGCTTCGTGTACCAATGCTTTCCAAGTCTTCCGAGTTTCCCACTTTACGCTTTAAGAAGAGTATTCATGTTTTTGTAGGTCGCTTAGTACAGGGTGGTACCGAATATTTGTACTGAGGCGACTGAGGTCAAAACAAATACACAGCCTACATGAGTTGGTTTAATACCCACAGGAAAAACACTTTACTTGAGTACAGGAGCCGATTAGTAAGCGGCTCCTTATGAGTGTCCATGTATTTAGCCGGGGGGAGGCTAATAGTTATTTTTCTCAACAAAGCTTTAAAGGGGGAAGCTCCGCCTCGAGGTCCAATTTCTTACCCCCCTTACCCTCATGATACTGTACCATTCTTGACAGGAGAAAAGAAGTACCCCTTACGTATACCCGTCATAAAAAAGGTACCTCTTTAACGTACCTACGGTGCCGCTTTCGGGCGGAACTTCTCCGTATAGGCCATTGACGTAGGGAGTAGCCCCCCGCAGAAGCTCCTGCCCCCCGGGGGTATTTCCATTTTCTTTTGTTTCAAACTCATTATCATAGTTACCATACCCAAAAACTAAAGAAAATTAAAATTAAAGCAAGGACAAAACGGAACCATAACATCTACGACTAGCATATTAAAAGTATAGTCGTCTGCAGGCAAAGGCAGTCTTTCAGTGAGTATTGATCCAGTCCTTTCATTATTTCCTGCAGTATTTTAGCACGTAACTCTCTTCTCCCTGCCCCCAGATGCCTCGTCAGCTCTCCCAGTCTCGTCTCTCAGCTCTCCCAGAATGTTACTTTCGTTTCTTTTCTTTTCTTTCTCCTTCTCCTTCCTTTCTTCTTTCCTGTTTCTTTCTCTCTTGGTTTATTTCGCGCGCGAGGGAAGCGGGTCATGCCCGAGCGAGACTGGGGACTAATCTTCCTAATATGGATGAACGTTTGAATTTTAACCAATCAAATCTTCGTGCTAAACCAACGAGCGAAATTCGAAGTTTTGTTGTCTGCACTTTAATTCGAAGAGCTGCCGGCCATGTTTTGTGTATAAACCAACTTTTTCCAGTCAGTGTTTAAAGAATCAAAAGAATAATTTTCGTCAGTCGAAGATCATGGTAAGGTTTAGTCTTCTATGAATCTCAATTGTGTGAGTAATTTAGATTGAAAGGCTCATAATAGTGGCCATGTCAGGAGGTTACCACGATAGGACAGCCCTTCGGTTGGTTTGCATGTTCATCTTTTTCCCATGTTCGTAAAATTTACATTTCCGATCTATTTTTTCAAACGTTAATCAAGATTACCTATATAGATCTATGAATTGAAATACATCTTAAATGAACCGCCGTCACTTTAATGTATTTCATGAGAACAGCCAGAATACGTTGTCTAAAAAGGCTTGAATTTGCGCAACGGAATGCGTGCACGTACCACGATAAGTGTACGTACAAGTTTCACGCTTTTGAAGTTTTTTTTTATATAATATTATATATAAACAAAGCTTAATTCATTGCTTAGGTTTTCTCTGTTCCCTGTATTTAGATTTGATTTGTATGTGCCTTTCCAATTCTAGGAAATTCCAAAGGCAAATGCAAATCCACAACGAGTGGCCTTGAAAGAAACACAAGACCTAAAAGTAAGACTACAACAAATTCAACTATCGACATCGAATAGCCAGGTTTGTCAAAAAGGACAGAATGCTACTTTGTTTACATGTAACGGCTCCCACAAAACTCTTCCCGGTGGTCAGTTAAATCAAAAGAAAGGAGCAGGTTACAAAGCATCTGAAAAACCAGAACAATGCAGCTCTGTGCAGAAACAAAATTACATATCAGCTCAACGAACAGATCATCTGGTCGCTCCTACTGGACATAGAAAAGACGAGAACAAGGAAAATGAACCGAAAGACGGCGGAAAACCAAAGAGTGCAAGGTACCTAAATTACTTTTCTTTAGTTTCATAGGTAGAAATTAGAGAGCGATTATTGTAGTAAATCAGATGTATTTTCATTCACCTTTTTAGGGCATGTTGGTGTTTGGATGACTTTGATATTGGGAAACCTCTAGGAAAAGGTTAGTACATGATCCACCATCTTTTGTCCAATTTGATCATGAGACTATGGTTTAATGAATTTACGTTACACATGAATGTTTTCAGGAAAGTTTGGCAATGTTTATCTGGCAAGAGAAAAAAAGAGCAAATATATTGTGGCCCTCAAGGTAAGATAATAAAGGCTTCCAGATTTCATATTTCCTACTCTTGTGTTTGGTTTTTCTGATAAACATTAGGATGAAATCCCACTTTGAGAAAGACATTAGGGTACTTATCCTCAGGCTCTGGTTGGGTGGTTATTGAAATGGCCATGAAATTCATGGTTGTAGGGGCCGTCATTATAGAGTAAGGTACCGGGGGGTTACTTGGTTTAATATTTGCTGGATATGTGCCACTGGCCTCTCAGAACCCCTGCCCATGAAAGTCTATTCACCCTTCTGCCCCTCCTACTTAAACTTAAATAAGCAGTATCTGCTTCTCGGGCGACATACCCATTTGCCGGCGTTACGATGTCGGACCTTGAGGATGCAGCACCATAGAATTCACTTACTGACTTGAGTGACAATGAGATTGAAATTGAAATTAAGTACTAATAACATACTTCCCCAAAGACAGAATTTTCTTCAGATTATTTTACAGAAACCTTGCTTTGTTACATCTTTGGATTTTGATATAACCATTTATTGTTTTGTTGCAAAATAAACATACTACACTTGCTGAAAATGGTGAAAATTTAATAAGCGCCCAGCCTCTATTAAGCGCCCACCTCGAATAAGTGCCCTCTCTCAAGGTCCAAAAATTTAACAAGTGCCCATGGCGATTAATCAAATAAATACGGTAAGTCACTTTCTGTTAATGCATCTACGTTACAACCTACCATAGGTCATCCTGAAATGAACTGACACAATTGTTAAACCTAATGTGGTGAAAATCTTTCTATTTTTAAATACCTACATTGTAACCTGCCTGCAAAAACAGATGTCTCTCCTCCCCATCGCCGCTGAAGGATGTTTCATGAGAAGGAACATATGTGACTCAGCAACAGAAATTCCATACTGAGGACATAAAATATGTTCAGAATCCAGTCATAAGTGCTGATTGGATGACGGAGTAGTTGCATTGTTTTAGCTATCGTTTATGAATGACAGACAAAAGGCTACAAAGGTCAAATGTAAGCGAGATGAATCTATAACAAAACAGTCAATATTTGTGAAATGCATTCTTCTCTAGAAGAAGCATGTGAGTTTTGCTGGAGCTTATTTAGCATATGAACACAACACTTTACCAAAGTCGACCAGGAGAAATTTAAAGTTGAACAAATTTGCAATTTGAACTCCATTACTTAACAGATTTATTATGTGAACATTGATTTACATCATCAGAATGCATGGAATTTCTGTCCCTGAGTCGCAAACGTTCCTCCTTGTAAAACGTCCCCAGTGGTAAGGAGCGAGGAGAAACGGCTGTTTCTGCAGGCTAGAATTTTCTGACCCCTAAAATCCTGAAAATATGCGACCCCATTCTAGTAACTCTTATAAAAATGCAACCCTGCAATAGTCAATCCAGTCATGAAAATGCAATCCCATCCAACGGCACATACATAAGCCTGCTATAAGTAAGTACCCCATCCCTCCCCCCGCCAGGAGTAAATTAAGTAAAGACTTTTTTTAGCGACACATGTCAAATGGAAGTGGACTTTTTGCATAAAAACATTTGGCAAAACAAAGCTGGTAAGGGAAAAGGCCTCCCTTCCAGTTGACATGCATCAGTTAAAAACATCTTTGCTTTAATTATCTCCCTATTATTTTGTATGTATTAAAGGGGGGCAAGGAAATATTGTAAATTGCAACTGAAGATAAAAACTTCTGCAAGGACCCAAAATGGAAAGTGTCTCTCTTTCNGGAAGTGGACTTTTTGCATAAAAACATTTGGCAAAACAAATCTGGTAAGGGAAAAGGCCTCCCTTCCAGTTGACATGCATCATTTAAAAACATCTTTGCTTTAATTATCTCCCTATTATTTTGTATGTATTAAAGGGGGGCAAGGAAATATTGTAAATTGCAACTGAAGATAAAAACTTCTGCAAGGACCCAAAATGGAAAGTGTCTCTCTTTCAATCAGTAATTTAATTTTGCAACCCCATCCCCACCATACTTTTTAGGTAGTGGTGCAATTTTGGGAGAACATGACTAAAAAAGAGTCAAGTTTTGGATATTTTAAAATTTCATGAGAGTTTTGTTTTTTTGTTTTCAATCTGGGTGCAATGCAGTTGAGGCATCAGCTTGATTGCATTTTAAAGCAATTAAGTTTTGTCACTTGATGGGCTACTATATTAAAACTGAGGCAAACAACTAATATTAAATAAGGTGGATCCAAACTCATTCACTAAGGCATGTTGGGGATGGATTGGTCTTCATCAGTGCCAAAAATATTACAAGAAGTGATCTTTATTTTCGTTGGGTTATATTCTCTTACCTATTTGGATCCTTGAAATAATTCCATCTTTTTAGAAGCTTTCTCTCCAACACGACATAAATTATTCATAAGACATCTCGCAGAACCTAAAACAATGACCTTCCCTATTTATTTTGTAAAAAATCAAGCCCTACCCCACCTCCTCTAACCACCCTTGACCTGCCCTTCAATATTTTGCATTTCAAATTATTTGTCTGTTGCTTCCAGGTTTTGTTCAAATCACAACTAGAAAAAAATCATGTGGAACATCAGCTTAGAAGAGAGATTGAAATTCAATCACATCTCAGGTAAATGTTAAAAGTTTCATTTATCTTCTATCTAACTAGGCAAGACATTTTTGCTACAGTGAAACCTTATGGGAAAGAGGTGTATACATTATAGACTGGGTCAGAATTTAAATGAAGTTTGGGGAAGGGGAAGTCAGTCTGAACAAGAGTTAGTGTCCATGCATGAGAGAGAGAGAGGTGTGTCTATCTAGATTGTTCATATAGGGAGATAAATAAAGCACATACATGTTTGCATTCAAGTCAAACCACTAGCCATTTTACATAAAGAACCTAAAGTCTTACAATTTATTTTTGTTTTAACCCCCTAAGCCCCAATATCCAAATACAAAATTCTCCAGACTGATCTCCACACATTTCCTTGAAGAATTGGTTAAGAGAATTTGTTTGTATATCAAAGCTTTTCCCATCAGGGCCGGGTTCCCTTGAAAGATGGTTTACTTTAACCCAGGATTAAGCCAAACTTTAAGCAAGGTTTTCTCATCTAAGAATATCCAACTTGAACTTACAACATACCATTGAGCCTTTACTCCAAGATACAGTAAAGTCAACACAAAATGTTACTCTAAGCAATACATAGAAATTAAGGTAAAATATAAAAACGGAACAAAATTTTTATCCTGGATTAACGCTAAACGGCCTTTCAGGAACTGCGTCCCGGTGATTATTTTGCTAATTCTCACAACATTTTGCTTTGATTATTTAGTGATTTTGTTGGGACAAAATTGACTTGGTCACTCTTGGGTCTTAATGCAAAAACCTTTGTCCAATTGTCCGGGACAGGAAGAAGCTTACATGTAGTTCGGACATGTAAACCTTTGACATGACTGGTCTGTGGGAAAAGCACATTTCTAATAATTAGAAAAAAAAGATTGTCTTCAAATTACAGTAGAATTAAAATTCATCTTAAAAGTCATAAATGCAAACCTCATACAACTTCGCCATTCAATGGTCATTTCATTTGTTTTTGAGAGCTCCGTATTTACTATTAGGCTTAAGCCAAAAACAAGGGTAATAACGTGATTAAAAACGTCAAATACCCGATTGTTTTTTAGTTTCGAGCTAAAATTAACTTTTTGGACTTTACAAGATCTCTTCGGTTTAGACAATCAAATTTAATGTACATGTAGTGCTTCCCTGAAGGGCAAGTGGATCGGAAGATTTTTCTCTTACCCTGTAAGGTAATTACTATAGTATACTTTAATTGCTTAGTGTATTAACAATTTCTGAACTTCCATTTTTTTATAGACATCATAATATTCTCCGTTTGTTTGGATACTTCTATGATAAAACAAGAGTTTATCTGATTTTGGAGTATGCTCCAAAAGGCGAGCTCTATAAAGAGTTAACAAAGATGGAGAGATTTGATGAAAAAACATCATCAAATGTAAGTACCAGTTTTTGAATGTTAAGTGTTGGTTATTTCTTGCTGCAATTTGTTGTCTGGAAAAGTAATACATGTTTAGATTGATTTTTTTTAAAAAAATGAATTCTTTCTTTTGTATTACAAGTGTAGCCTTTTACCGATTTTAAATTTAGTATTATATGTACAGTACAACCCACAGTAAATCGAGTTATCAGGGTAAATTTCAGTGAAATTTTGATCAAAGGAAAGGAAATTTAGCTTTGAGTTAGAGGAGAATTCAAGTTATCCAAGTTTGAGTTATCGAGGTTCTACTGAATATGTGTATTTTTTTTTCTGGACATCTTTCATTTTACTGTATATAATCTAACCTAGGCTTATTTAGTATTAATTTTTTAGTCTTGGTTTGGACCTTTCTTTAAACCAAGCCAATGTGATGAAACCTTCCTAATAAAAGATTATTATTATTATTAAGTATTATTCATTCATTCAATCTGATTAATAATAAAATTAATATCATTATAGTCATGGGTAAGTTGTGTTTTGATTTGAATGATTTCACCTGCAGTATATTCGCCAGTTGGCTGATGCTCTGAAGTATTGTCATTCAAACTTTCACTAAGTGTCTCTGTAGTTTGGTCTTTTGAATGAAGAACCTGATTTCCAAACCGTTACAATGTACAGAAGAGAAATTTAAAGATTTTCAACAAAAGGTTCATCGAACGTCGACGACTTAAACCATTAGCAAGTCACTGACTTTGCTTAGCACCAGCAAGAGTTGTTCGTGATCATAAAACTGCAAAGCCTTTCAGCTGTTCAGCCATGTCCTCTGCATTTGACACCATCAGGGATCTTAATAACCTGTTGCTTTCAAGAGTTCTGGGTTAAACTCATCTTCTTCTTCTCTGTCCACCTCAGGGTCCATTTAATAATTGATTTAGTTATGTAATATGGTGACTGTGAGATAAGTTATAATAAAAAGAGCCATTTGGGAAATCCAAACAGGGATAAAAATTTATGGTAAATATGGCAAGTATAAATCTGGAATTTGATAGAGGGTCACTTAATAGAGGTTTGATTGTAGTTAAGAAAAATATTTATTTCTTTATTTTTCTTTTTCACTTGTAGTTCTGTGGGGGGCCATTATAAAAACTAGCAGGTCACTGGTAGTAATGCTTCCACCCCTTTGTTTAATAAAGATATCAAAATAATACTATTTGGGATATTGAGAGCATTTATAATTTACTTGGGCTTGCAGGGAGACCTTAAAATTGCAGATTTTGGATGGTCCGTCCATGCACCTTCATCCAGGTAAACAAACCCCTGTTCTCTTTCCTTAAACATCAAAATAACAGCAACTTTTACATTACCAATATTAAATTAATTTATTTTCAAGTATTACAGCAAGGAGCCCAAAAGTGTGACCACTTTTGATTTATTCACATTCTCTTGTACAACCTCGTTCCCAGGGTTCTCTCCTACCCACCCTACGGAGCTCCGTAGGGCGGGTAGAAGAGAACCCTGGGAACGAGGTTGTCTCTAGTACAGATTTAATCCAATCAGAAGCCAGCTGGAAACTGTCCTCGACTTCTGATTGGTTAATGTCTGCATGAAAGAATGTGAGTTAATTAAAGGAGATCAGACTTTTGGGCTCCTTGCTGTAATTTAATGACAAGGTAATTTGCACTGATAGATGCCATGTACATTTATTATATTCCAGACATGTTGACTTATTTTTAATTATAAGAAATTTTTTTTGCCTGAAATAATGTACCACATAAAATTTCAGACGGACAACACTTTGTGGGACTCTGGACTATCTTCCCCCAGAGATGATTGAAGGCAAAGAGCATGATGAAAAGGTAAATAAAGTTTGTTTTTAACCTTCACAACTACATATATTGTTCCCTCAGTAGATCCTATTATTATAAGTTGTTCAACAGGTTCTTGATACCTGTATTCTCCATTTAATGTAAAAAAAAAAAGACAGTCCCAAAGAAACTCTGGTCAATACTTTTTTCACTATATAAATAAAGTGGAAATCCTGTGAAATGTGTATTGCACTCTTAAAAAGGAAACTCCCAGCCTGTGGCTTGAATGCAAATTCTATATCATGTTGGCTTTATAATTACAAGCCTGTGAACACAGACGTATTTCTGGTCATCGCTTCTCCGTCTCCACCCAAAAATAGCAATGACCAGAAATGCATCTGTCTCTGCAGGCTACCTGTATATAATTCAACACCAATACTTTGTTCCAGGTTGACCTTTGGAGTCTGGGTGTCTTATGTTATGAATTTCTGGTTGGAAAACCACCTTTTGAAGCTGAAGGTCATCAAGAAACGTATCGCAGAATTTCAAGGGTGAGCAGACCAGTAGTGTAGGAGCTGCTCGTAAGGTGTTTCCTCATCGGTCGCAGAAAACAAACTAAACACAGCATTGTTTATCATTAACATCCTCCACACACAATCCAGATAGCATTATCACAATATAATTTAAGACTCATAATATTTATTGTTGCACGATCTTCCAGTACCTTAGTTTCTTGTTGGCCCTGTCCCCTGCACAATACTTGTGTGAGGGGGACTTTCTTCCTTTGTTGAGTGTTAAGACAGGGAAGTTGGATATTAAATATTTCAAAACTTGTTCTTTGCCACAAAAAATAGATTATGTAAAACCCCTTTTTTACTTTGCAATCATGATGAACATGGAAAGAATTTCACCATACAGGGTGCAAAGAAAATCATTTTTACAGCTTGCCATTTGGGTAAGCTGAAGCTAGTATTTACTAGCCCAGATGTCATTTCAACTAGCCCCAAAAGCTTTTTGATGAGCAGAATTGATTTCGCAGTTCTTCTGTTATTCGAATTCCTCAAAAAAAACATCACTTGCCCGTCGGGCAAGTTAAAAACAGAATTCACTAGCCCGATAGCAAAATTTACTAGCCCCAGGCTATTGGACACAACTTTCTTTACACACTGCCATACATGTAAACCATGTGCATTATTAAAATTTCTGCCATTATGTTATGTATTCTTGACTCTCACAAGGAGACTGAATATGAACCAGTAAAAAGATCTTTCTTTTTGATGAGTTCTTTTCTCTGTTTCTGCTTCATACAACAGTTGTCAGCAAGAAATGTTTTTGAAATAGGTTTTAACAATATAAACAGGGTAGAAATGACTATGATAAATACATGGACATGTACCCTTCAAATGACAATGAAAATGTGTCTTTTTTCTTAGGTTGACCTCAAGTTTCCTGACCATGTGTCTGAAGGGGCTAGGGACCTTATTTCCAGGGTGAGAACAGACATTTATAATTATTTACAACAACATCTCATTCTTGTAACTTCATATTACTAAAACTGTCAACTAGATAAGGCAAACACCACAGGGCTTGACGCTGAGTGTCGATCTTAAAAAGGTGTTGACCTTATAATTACAGAAAATGATTGAAGAAAGGTAGAGACTAACTATCAGGCCCAGGTGTCCATTAAAAGACGTACAGTTGATTGTATTGCCCATCTTTTTCAGATTACAGGAAATAATATGAATTACAAGAATTACATGTAACAAACACTATGGTTGTTTTCTTGTTTCTACACAGCTTCTAGTTCATGACCCCAGAAAAAGGCTGCCTTTGAGTGGCGTTCTAGCTCATCCTTGGATCAGAAACAATGCACAACCTCCAACAATGCTGCACCCTCCACCAGTATAGCAACAAAGCATGAGTTCAATAGATTAATGTACATTTAAATTTGTGCAAATAGATGTATCGTTGTATTACCCCTACCCATGTAAATAGAAGGGTGCCAAAATACATTCCACTTCCACTGAAACAGAGAAGTCGCTCTTTCTGTTCAAGTTGAACAAGGAGAGAATTCATATAAATATTACAACAGCTCCCATTAGCAAAGTAAACATGGCCCACATTACTTAGCAACTGTCTTTATTGTGCCAGTAAGTCCAGACAGATACATGTTAAGGACACAAATGTGTCTTGGAAATGTCTTTTTTGTAGAAAAATGTTAAACATGATGACAACAAGTCTATTTGTTCTTGACTAGATTATTTTACTGGCAACTTGTTTTGACATAAATAAAGTTTAATAAACTAAAATAGAACTTAGCTAGGCTTTAATAGCAAGAATGATGAATGTTTCTAGCATTTTTGTTGCATACCTAGTTTAAATTAGTGATGACTATTATTAATACTTTCTACTATAATAAAGTAATCAATCATCATCTACGGTTCCACTTATCTTTGTGAGTGTACACTTGCTTGAGTTTATCATATAAGGTTCACTAAGCTCAGGAAATGAACTAGTGTTCCGTCAGGATCAAAGTAATTCATTATACCCCTGGTGTTTATGTTTAGTTTACTGAACTGAACTCCAGCGCCCAGTTGTTCGAAGGCCGATTAGCCCTTAACCCAGGGTTAAATTTAACCCGGGCTTCTCTTTCTTGTGTTCAAAAGCATTTTCTCGGATAAATTTCCCTGTTATATTTAGAGCTTTCAATCATCAACTTGTAGACAAAAAGAATTAAAACTGAAATGCTTTTTAAGCTTTCAAATTTGAATTCAAATCTCGCACTAACCCTTGGTTACCTTAACCCAGCTTTGAACAACTCGGCCCAGGTGCCTTATTTATTATTTGGGTATCTGAAGTTTACCTCCTGAACCTGTTGGAAAATTTCTTGGCAAACAGCTTTGTCTCTCCTATCTTTGTACAACAAACTTTCAATGGAGACTTTCAATGTTCTTAAACTGCTCTTTTTGCATGATATTATACAGCTATCCCCAAAGGGGGGGAAAACAGTGATGGATATAAAATTAAATGTATGTACCAAAATGCAAAGCATCAAGGTATACATCTAGCACTATCCTAAACAAAATGCAATCACTATTGCACAGTTTATTTTTATAACAATCAACATTTACTGTTTGACGGGTTCTTTCATAAATCCCATTCTGCGTAGCTTTCTGACAATCAGTGGGGTACATGTAATCGTCATTAACATTCTCACTGGAGCAAACACTTTATGACAAGCATATGCCACAACAAATGTACTTGCCTCTGTTGCAACAGAAGAATCACTGACTTTTGGACTTACACCAATACTGTGGAGAGCTGCTTGAACATCGATTCCACTAGGACATGAAGATAAGACTTTTTAAACAAATAATGCAGCCTACTTGTTTCTCTTTAAATAAATATAATTATCCCAGTGAACCTGTTTGCAAAACAAGGTAGGTAAATTCTCCTTATATTTCCTTTTGAACAAGAGGCTTTATATTTAAATTTTATGCAAAGTCCACAACTACAGGTAAAAGCTGTTTTAAAAATAGAATGAAACATAAAAGGCAACTAACCTTTTCACAGCGGCATAACATAACCCAAGTGAAGTGAGCGAAATGGAAACATGAAACACTATTGCAGTGGTTCCATACTCTTGAACGACTGACTTCAATCTGTCCCTCAGAGAAAGTTTATTCTCATTTCCCTCCTGAGCCGCTGCGTTTCCTTTCCACGAACTGTTGCTGTGTTTTATGACCGAAGAATGCAGTGGCCTTACAATACTTAAGTTGGGCAACATGAAAAATCCATTTCTCGCAGGAGTTTGGACAGAGTGCAATTCAGTTTTGGGAGTATAATTTCTAAGCGGAACGGCTAGGGCCTTAAAGTCGTTCTCAACGAAAAATCCCCCTGATATCCACCTCATACAACTGGGATTCACTTGACAGGTCAGCATTAGATCCCATTGGCTGTAGCCCCTTTCTCCCCTTCAGAAATTTACACAAGGGAGAACTGTTTTCTGCTTTTATATCACACTTAGATGATATTTCAAGCTGGAAATGTTCATGAAAGTGCAAGTCTCTTCAATTTAAAGAGGGGGGAGGTACATAGTAGAAAGGAGGGAGAAATGACCCGGAAGAAGTAGGGAGGAAGGAGAACTCAGGTTGAAAAATGTAGGGAGGAGGGAGAAAATGAAAATTATGTTGGGAATAGCGAGATATCAACTAGAAGGTCATTTTATGGCTTTTCTTTAACTTGCATCAAGACAAGGGATGGGGGAACAGGGAAAATGAAGTACACACTGCAATCCCCCTGGGTCTCATGGGACTCCCTTGGTTGGAACTTAATCGAGAAAGCATAGAATCAAACTTTGATGCATCTCAGGTCCCCAGGTTTAAAACTTGATAACAACAGTCGCAACACACAACTTCTGCAATGAGGCATAAAGGAACTTATCTGTCCTTCACGGCTTCGCTCTAACTAATAGGTCCTTAAGGGATTTTCCCTTGGGATATGATATGATGGGAGGCAACTTAAAGATTTCTCTCAGTCGTTGCTGGTTTTGTATAAGGTGCCATTTTCCCATAGTATTTTCCGCAGTCTGAGTAAAGCCAGGTGGTATTGTGTGACAAAAGGTAGTAGTTTTTTAGGTGCAGATTTGTTGCTCTGCTGAAGGGCTGTTTTCCTGTTGGCGAATTTTTACTCAGAGAGGTACTTTTTCACAATAGGAACAGGGTAGCCTCTTTCTATTGGGTGATTTTGAAATTTTTGATATTTCCTCAAAAGTGGTTTGAGAGGAATCAGTCCTTAGATGCCTGAGCACTTGTCATTTAATGAAGCATTCCTTCACACCTGGTGGTTGACACGAGTGCGTGAAAGGCTTCTGTTGGCTTATGGGCTCATAACTGGTTTATAATGTGTTCAGCATGTCTAGGTTTGGTTCCTTGTTGAATCTAACCCCTTTGTACACTTTTGTGTCCCAGAAAGGGATCTCTGTTTCTGATATCTCAGCGGTGAATTTGATAGTAGCTATAGTGTGAAAGTTATTTGCCTTTTCCACGATTTAAGCTCTCTGTTTTCAGACTTGTCTTCCATAGGAAAAACACACCGTCAATATATCTTTTCCAAAACAACGGTCAATTACCCTTTGTGCCCAGAGACATTTTATGCACAGTTTCCGGTATGATGACCCAGGCAAAAAGCTTTTTTCTCGCGTTTTTTGTCACAGCTTCGCCTCTAGCGACTTCTGCCTTCGGCCAAAGATCCAAAGCATCCCGCCGCACGTGAGAAAAATCCACTGGTGACCAGGGTATGGTTCAATACAACTCAATGTTTAGTTGTCTATTCTGGTCATGAAAATGTGAGCATCTTCGTTCCCATGGCTCCATGGGTATGTAGGTAGTTGCTCCCGCAAAATTGGAACAAGTTTTCTGTTAATATAAGATAGAGTAATTCTCTTAGATACTTGGTAGGTCCCGGGGAGGGGAGGTATTCCTGGGAATTTTTGGTGGGCATGTGCCGCCCGGTTCTCCGAATCCCGACCCTATTTCAGACTAAAAAATGTTATTTTCCACACCCGTTTTCAGACTATGTATCGGTAGAATTTACACTAAAGCTCAAACAAGATTTCTTAAAATCCATTTTAAATTTACTTATTACTGTTTCTTTGACCTTTTTAATTTGGAATTGAAACAACAAATACGTTTATACACTCCCGTAGTTACCTAAAAAACCATACCCAATTCCAGATCAAAATGGACAAAATCTATGTACCCGTTTTCAGACCGGAACGAATCAAAAACCCTACCATTTGGGGCAGCACATACCTATATGGCTTATATTAGGCAGTACCCTTCCACCCCTTCCCCCCCCAGTGGTAGGTATATGTGCTGTCCCTCCGTAAAAATCTTTGTATGCATACATTCGGTAGTTAGACCCTCTTCGTGTGGTATGTTGGTGTAGAGGCGAAGCTCTGAAGGTCATTATACTTCCTTTGCAACTAAGTGCAGGAATCATGTCTGCCCACCGCCAATTTTTAAACCAAGTTTGGGGAGGAGGGAGAAATAACCCCATGAAGTAAGGAGGAGGGAGAAATTGGCTGAAAAAGTAGGGAGGAGGGAGATTTACCCGTCCTGTACCTCCCCCCTCCTAAACCAATCATAAAGCGTGCGAACGTGCATTGTGATTGGTTTGTCCGTCCGCTTCTGCTTCCGACTCTGACATATTATCTGGTTTTCACTAGATCGTAAACCACGGAGTCATTAGCGGAGTCAGAATAAAATGGAAACGTTCTGATTTTGATTTTCACGAGATCATGAATGCTCTTATGACTCTGCTAGTGACTCCGAATCAAACTCCGTAAGAAACCTTAGGAACTCGGAAGTACTCTGTGGGTAAACATATTACAGCATATTATATTTGCAAAAATTATGGGAAAATAGGGGACTGTGAACAGTCTAAAGCATCCCTATCTGTGCCAAGCGTCTTTTGGTAACTTGGCAAATCTCTGTTCTCTGTTTCCACCTTGGAAAATTTGTTATCAAAAGCCTGCCGTGTGGGTGGGTATTTGTCTTTTGTTGACTTTTGTCTTGAATGCTAACGCAGAAACTTCACGATTTCACAGTTTCAAGGGTTTATTCCAAATAAAAAAAGTTCACTGCCAAAGGTACACACGAAATCTAAACCCAACTAACTAAAACAAATTAAGATAACACGCTTACAAACAAGGTATTGAAATTGATCCCTTAATGATATACATTCCGATCACTACCACGATTGATTGATTGTCACGCAATGTTATAATCTCACACACACTCCCCCTGTTCATTTCCGACAGGAATGAACAAAGAAAGGTGACTAAATCATGTCCGATTAATAATCTATGAGTAATAAACGTCATAATTTCTTAAGGTAGCTCCTCGTCGTCTGCTTGGTCCTGGATTCTGACCTTGGCTGCAACTGCGGCATCCCTCGTCGGCCTGAACACTGGTGTTTTAGGACCCAGGTTTCTGATAGGCGCGCCTGCAGTCATGTCACATGACAGTTCAAGAGGATACAAATGTTGAATAGGCCTCTCAAGGTAAGACTTTCCAGCTCGCAACTTCGCACTCCTGACGACGCCATCTCTGCCAGTGATCAGCTCAGCGACGATTCCTAGCTTCCAGTGCCCGCGGTTCTTCTCTTCACCCTTGATTATAACGACGTCTCCCCTTGATAGAGATAGTTGCCTTTGCTTGTTGTGTTTGAGGTTGTGTCTTTCACGAAGGCTTCTTAGGTACTCAGAAGACCACCTCCCCCATACCACATCCTTGCACTTTGCTAGATACCTCGCTCGCTTTGGAAGATCAGGGTTCTCTTGATTGTGGTCTTCAGGAAGTAGGGTAGGACGACCAAACTGCAGCATGTTTGGGGTTAGCACAGGCAGCTATACATCTTCTTCCACGTAACTGAGAGGTCGGTTATTCAGTGCTACTTCCACGTTCAACAAGACATCTTGCAGTTCGCTCCAGGTGAGAGTTCCATTTCCAACGCTTTTGTTGAAGGCTTGCTTGACAAGGCCAATCATTCTCTCGAATTGCCCACCCCACCATGGTGCTTTGGTGAGGCTAAACTGCCACTTGATGTTCAGCTTGGCAAGGAAATCGTGCAGTCGTTCATCTTGCATCACATTTCGTAGCCACTTAGCTGCACCTACAAACGTTCGACCGTTATCCGAGTAAATCTTTTCTGGGCGGCCTTTCCTTGCGATAAATCGCTTCAAGGTACTGATAAACTCTTCTGTCTCCATGGTTTTCGTCAGTTTGAGGTACAAGGCACGGCTCAGGCTGCAAGCGTACAGGACTATGTAGGCTTTTCCCTCTCTGTTTCTGCTAACACGGTACTTTACTGGACCCGCATAGTCAACCCCGACGACCTGAAAGGGCGTAGTTCCCACAGTACGATCCTGAGGTAGGTTTCCTGGAGGGGGGTTGTAGTTTGCAACAGCATGAAACCTCTTGCATCCGTAACAGCGCTTAATTAGGCGTTTGACGAGCTGGCGCAATCTGGGGACCCAATGTGTCTCTCGCACTTTGGCCATGGTTAAGCTCACTCCCCCATGTATAGTGGCTTCATGGGCATGCTGCACGAGCTTCTCAGTGTATATCTCACTGTCAGGTAGGTAGACTGGGTAATCACCTTGGATCCTTCCGCGACATTCCAAAGCACCATCATGATTCATCTGCAGGTTAAGTTTCAGCTTATCGTCTTCGAACTGTTCCAATCCGGCACACTTCTTTTGTGTTTTCTTCTCCCAGAGAAGCTTCTGGTAGTTTATCTCCTCTGTGGTGAGAGCACCTGTCTTCCTCTTTTGCTCGGAGTTCCTTGTGTTGTTGATGAACCTTTGGACCCACGCTCCTACCCTCAAACAGTGCCAAAGGCTTCCCTTCGATAGCAACTCATCAAACACATCCGATTCTGTTCCATTCATAGCTAAGGCGAACACTTGCTTGGTTGCTTTCGCGTCTGCCTCAGACTCTGGGGTAGCAGTTGTTACAATATCTGGGGGCCAGCTAGCTGGATCCTTCAGCCAATTTGGTGCTTCCCACCATAGCACATTCTCTTTGTTAACTGGTCCGCCTCGACTCCCCAGATCTGCAGGATTCTCTTGTGTCGGTAAGTGTCTCCAAATGACGGACTCCTTTTCTTTTATCCTGTGGACACGGTTTCCAACAAATTGCTTGTGTTCGCTGGCGCCTCTAATCCAGTGAAGGGCAACAGTGTTGAAAAGCCAGGCATTTAGTGACTTTACTGGGTACCCGGTCAGAGCATCGTGAACGTTGGTCAGCAAATTAACTGCCATGTGGCCTGCAACCAATTCCATGCGGGGAATGGTGAGTCCCTGTT